GTGAGTGGCCATCCATTTTGTTGAGCCCATGCATAACCCCCACCTCAGTTCCCATGGCCACTTTTTTCTTGGGTCCCTTGGACAATGACAGGAATGGCTGGGGAGAGAAGCTGACTGTCCATGGGTCAGCGTATCTACTTGAATATTGAACTGCTTCTCAGTCTAAGTCACCTTTTGATTAGCATTTACATGGGACACAAGTATCTTCACATCCTTCACCCATTTGAAGAGATCAATCCACATATTTGTTCCCCAGATGCCCTTCTCACCAATTTTCCTATCACAGTCTTTCCAAGTCCCTGGCCATCTAGCCAATCTATTGACTCCAACCTATGTATGAGTGAACAATTAAACATCTGGCCACTCTTCTTTTCAAAAAAAGTATATGATTATGTGTACTGCATGGAGGTTTGCCAACTGTGAAGATTTCCCTTCACTTGTGTCTTTCAGGTTGTCCCAGAAAGGGGTTGAAATGTCCCAGCTGTCCATTTCTGGGTGATATCTGGATATCATGCAGAACCATCATTAAACCAGGCTCTACTCTTCTCTTCCTCAGTCAATTATCATAGGACCTAATCCTTGAGGCTGTAAGTGCATACTTGGCAGCAGAACATATTGTAATAGGTGTAGAAGCCATAGACATTAGGGCAACTTCTTTATGTAACTTGCTTGTGATTTCAGGACCTGTTCAGTCTAATTGCATGTAGTCCAATTCTACTTTATAATGTATTGCTTCTGTGTACATCCTATATTATGGCTTGGTGGGCCAGCTAGTACCCCACTCATGATTGACAGTCCCATTTCTGGTACCAAAATCTGTGTTAGTCAGCATTTTCTAAGGAAATATAACTGCTAGAATCTCTCTCTCTCATATATATATATATATATGTGATATATATATATAGTTTGAAAGGTCTAAGAATCCAGTAACTGTTCAGTCCACAAGGCTGGATGTCTGGGTTGGTCTTCAGTACATGCCAGAATCCCAAAGAAGTAGGCTCTAAAGCCGGTGAAGGAACAGGCTTATCAGTGAGAGTGATAGCAAGCAGGCAAAGAGAACTCACATATTTCATATCATTTATGTAAGCTGCCAGGAGAAATTGTGGACCAGATTAAAGGTGGATCATTCCATATACAAATGTCTGGATTAAAAGTGCATCTTCTCACTTAAAATGATTTCATTAAGAAAAATCCCTCACAGGTGTCTCCAGCCAGTTGGGTTTTAGTTAATTCCAGAAGTAGTCAAGTTGATAACCAAGAAAAGCCACCACAGGTCCACCCATTGTCAACTTGACACACAACCATGTCTCTCTCCATGTGTATGTGATACACACACACACACACACACACACACACACACACACACACACACATATATATATATATATATATATATATAATTTCATTTCCTACAGGGCTCATATTATACATAATATCTCTAACCTTGTCACAGTCAACAAAATATGGAAGCAACCTGTGTCCATTTGTTGATGAATGAGTAAAACTGTTGGTGAGGTAATTGCAACAGACAGGTATTAAGTTCCAAGAAAATTCTAGTCTCTTGCCATTTGATACAATTGGAAGGATAATATAAGTGAAATAATTCAGACTAAGCAACAAAAATATTGTATGATAGTTCATATTTGGAATCTAATATTTTCAAAGTTCAAATACAGAGTAATAGAGTATCAGTCATGGTTACCAAATGAAGAGAATGAACATGACATTTAGGAAGACAGGTAGGATGAGCAAGTCAAGAGTTCTAATGTATAACATATTTAATTCTTATACACCAATAGAGGGAATCAATTATGTAGACAGTGACTGTACTGGACAGAGAGATGCTAAAGTGAATGAGAGTTGAAGGTTGTGAGATGATCTAGCAATGAAACGTAATCTATTCTTGGAAAATTGACCAAGATACTTTGTTTAAAAAATCCCTTTATTAATTTCTATTGCTGCGACAAAATACATGACAAAAATTACTTAGGAGAAAAGAGTGACTTATTTTGAGTCCTGGTTTCAGACCATTACATTACTGAAGGAGTAGCTGAGCAGCTAACCTCATGGTAGCAGATACATGTGGAGGAGGTTGCTCACATCAGAACAGGCTAGTAAGCAATGAGAAAGGTAGGAACCAAGGGACACATATAGACTTCAAATACATGCCTTTAGTGACCTATTTTTGCCAGTTAGTTAGTGACCTATTTTTGCCAGTTCGTTTCCAGCTCCTAAAATTTCTGTAGCTTCCCAAAATAGTGGCAATAGCTGAAGGAACAAGCATTCGAAACATGAGCATATGGGGACATTCAAATTCAACCCTTATTGATTTCCTAAGATAATAAGTCAATAATGAATATTGACTTGAAGAGATTAAGGGAACTGGAGTTTTGAGACATACTCAGAGGCAGTGTAACAAATCTGCAACAGAGCATGAGAAAGGAGGCCACACATGACACTAAATAGGAAAATTTTTATTTGTTATTCCTCCAGGACTTATTTTAGAGGAAAATAAGTACGAACATTTGCACTTTAGAGTTGCACTGGACTTAAAGAACAGAAGATGAGTTAAGAGGAGCTTACCATAGTTTGAATGACAGAAATGAAGATAGTCTACAACTCTCACATGGAAAACACAACATTTTATGAATAAGATAAAATAGATGAGAATAACCCAGTGAAAAATACATATCCTTCAGGTGGACAGTTTGGCAAAGGAATTATTCACTGAACTATGAAACAGAGTAACTTTAGTTGGTTGGTTTTTACTCTTCTGCTTCTTTGCTCTTTGGGGGCCCATCACCCAGCTTCCAAATAAATGACACATGAAGTCTTCTTTTACATATGAATGCCCAGCCTTAGCTTGGTTTGTTTCTTGACAGTTTTTCTTAACTTAAATTATGCCATCTATCTTTTGTCTCTGGGCTTTTACCTTTCTCTATTTCTGAGTATCTTTTCTTCCCTTCTTATTCCATGTCTGGCTGTGTGGCTGAGTGGATGACCCCTTCTTTTCTTTCTCCTTCCTCTTTTTCTCCTTTTATTTATTCTCTGCCTGGCAGTCACACCTATTCTTTCTCCTGCCTTGCTATTGGCCATTCAGCTCTTTATTAGACCAATCAGAAGTTTTAGACAGACAAATTAACACAGCTTCACAGAGTTAAATAAATGCAACATAAAAGAATGCAACATATCTTTGCATCATTAAAGAAATATTCCATAGCATAAACAAATGTAACATGTTTTCAACTAATATTCCACAGCGGTAATAGCTGGTTGATTCAGTGGGGGAGAGAAAATAAGTTTAATCATTGATATAAGTATACATATCAATTAGTGTGTGTGTATGCGTGTTTGCACACATGTGTGCGAACATGCATGTGTGTGTACACAGGAAGGAGAAGAGTATCAAGATCACAGGTATAGATCAGTATATACAACAGCAAATAGATAATTCCTGATGTCATAGAAGTGAAGAGAAGGCCGAGAAGAATGCATATACTGATCAGAAAATGAGACACTATAGAAAACAATAAAGATAATCAGAATTTGAAAGAGGAACACAGAAGAGACAGAGAAAGTATTGATCAGTATTCATCATATATAAAATTAAAAGGATACACATTTCTGAAGGAGTGCATCATAGAAGGTTTAAATGCTGTAGAATGTGTAAAATGTTCACTGATAAGGCACAAACAGGGATTCCCTTCCCTTGAGAGTCTTGAATGCTCACACCGTGTATACACATTTGCTCTTGTCCTAGAATACCATCAAAGCTTATTTGTTAACATTAAGAAAAGTATGCACAAGCTTATTCTCTATCCTTAAAACTTGGTATTCCCATTCTGTATTTTCTAGTTGCTTCTTACTGGCTTGGGAGTTGTCTTTGTCTTTATCAGTTCAGTTACACTGCAGAAATTTTAAAACAAAGTAGTTGCAAACAACTCTAAGAGCCAGGCATGATGGCATATGCCTCTAAATCCCACATTTAGGAGATAGAGACTGGATAGTTAGTTCAAGGTCAAACATGGCAATATAGTGAGTTCAAAGCCATCCTGATTAAATGAGACAATTTCCTCTGGTCCCTGCCAATGAAAAGAAGAAAAGTCAAGAACCCCAAGAAATTATATGTAAAGGGATACTTAAATAGTGGACTTCATAAAAATGTCTGTGACCCCTCCTGATATTCTTCATTTAATGTCTCTATATTAGCTACTTCGGTACACTGTAAATTCTGAGTGTGCATCCCAAATCACACACTTTATTTTTAAAAGTCAATTAAGGTGTAAGGACAGGTGAGCTGGTATACATTAGAAGAAACTTTTACTTATGTTCATTAGTGGAATGTCTGAATTCAAGTTCCTGACACCAAGCTTGTCTGTATTTTCTCCTATTCTTGTTCTTTGTGTTTGGGAAGTTGAGGCAGTAGGATTGCAAACGCAAGGCCAGCCTAGGCTATGTAAGGAGATAGTCTTTCAAAAACAAAACAAAGCAAATCAAAACACAAAGATTGGTGGTTGAACATGTGTTTAGTATGCCCAAGGTCTTGAATTGTTTGCAACCCCCAAAGGAAATAAAGCATTTTATTCAGTATTTCTTATAATCTGGTCTGATAATACTGTGCTAAATTTACATGAAAGGGGATAAATGTAAGAGATGGACAATCTTTACATAAGTTTACAACTTTCTTGTACTCCCCCAGTTTGTGTATTTTCTCTTTGTTAGGTTTTTCTTTCAGCAGATAGCAAGGTCATAAAACTCTACACAGGGTCATAAACAGCTATGTTCAGCTAGCTTCTGATGTGGTGTAATTACTCAAGTTAAATATTTTCCAAGGTCCTTCCTCTTAAAGAGTGAGTTACTGCCAGGGACATGTGTTTAGAATTGTATTAGAGAACGAGTTACACTCACAGGAAACACATCTGAAAAACAGAGAAAACAAAGGTTTCCAGTTATGAGCTCTCTTCTTGTCAGTGTCTGACTTGCATCGCCAACACCAAGGGATGTTCCTCTTCCAGACTGCCTTGTCGGTATTCCCAGCTAATGGACCTTTTTGTTCTCTTTGGACTGTGTGTCTTCTCATTTCTTCACTGGGTCAGCAAGGAGTCCAGGCCTTTTTGTGCAGTAATGGAGTCCCATTGTCTTCTGACCATGTGTGTGACTTCACAGACCATTGTGGGGACAACAGCGATGAGGAACAATGTAAGTGTCATTTTCCTTCCAACTCCAGTTCTCTGTGTTTCCTCAGACAGAGGCTTGTGAGGAGCCTTGAGGATCCAGCTAGATTTCTGCCCAGAGTGTGACTTTATTTTCGAGTCTCTAAGGGTGAAAATATGGTATTTAATAAATAAGATTCATGTATAAAATTGTTATAATATCACATCACTACAATTTTAACTCGATGGAAAGGGTTTTAAAATGGTTTTGCTGATTGTAAAGAAATAGTAAACAGAAATTTAGCATTTATGTTTGACTAGTGAAGCAAAACTTCAAAGAAACTCATTAATTTGGTTGCAAAATGCTAGGATGGAAATTATGAGCTAAAGTGTAGATTTAATATGGAAATTAATTTTAGTTTGGATGAGAGGTTTTATTTTCACTTATGGGACACTACTGCCAAACGAATTAATATGCATAGCACAATGTCAGCTTGTGTATTTTGCTAGAGAAGATTCGAGAGTATGATGAGCATTAAAGTCTGGGGTAAACTATTTGTTGATTCGTGAACTTGAATTTTTATTTTATTATAAAAGTTTTTAAGATGAGTGAAATCTCTGAACAGGTGGGAACATGCTCCATTGCTTATTGGAATAGTGTTAATGACAGGAAAAAAATGTACCAAAGGAGGATGCAGAAGGTGACAAATGTGTATGTGACCTTTCTACCACAGTCCACAATCTTGAAGGAACACGATACTGTGCACGTGGAGAGTGGTATCCTTCTTTAATACAATCTATTTTGCAAATGACATTTTTACAAAATTGCTTCTGTTTTGTTGTTGGTTCATATAACCATTGATGCAATTATCAGAACCACTGATTTTTATTATTGCCCATTATGTTATTCAAGTTTCCATTTTGTAATTTTATTCAGATAAGTAGCCATCAGTCCTTATAGAATTTATCACTTTCTTTTGTGAAAATATAGTTCGATATTTCTTCTTGCTATTGACTTCCTCTTACAGTCAGTCATAATTGCATCAAAAAGTAAGAAAAAGATTACTGAACAATTTTTCTCCTATAGAAGAGGTGGTGATTTCCTCCCAGGTAGGGATTTTCATTTCGTTCATATCTAGTAACTATTAAATATAGAGAACAACCAAGGACAAGGATCCATTTGTATCTGTCCAATTTTCCCAGTGAGGCTAAATATGTATATGCTGCCCTATGCTCAGGTCTGTCTGCGAAGCCCTTCTTATCCTTTGTAGGCAGCAGAGAGGAACCACTCTGTTGGCTTGACAGGAAGCGCAATGTCCCCCTATGATTAAGTTCCTTGCTGTGATACCATGTATGTTCTTGCTTTGGGGAAAAGGTTAATGTGGGGAAAAGCAGGAGAAAGCTGCTGAGTGCGAAAGGTCTCTGCTGCATGAAATTTTAATAAGCCAGTCTTGGAAGAAGGCAAAGTCCTGGATCTGTCGAATAAACATGTTTCATTTTAAATGTTTAAATTGATAAGCCACCTCTTGACATTTTCACCTTTCATTGTCATTTTCTGAGAACTTTCCACTTGGAAGTTTTATTTAAAATGTGGATAAGAACCTGGAAATAAAAATGAGAGACACTGTAAAGTTTTTTTTTTTTTTTTTTTTTTTTTTTTTTTTTTTTTTTTTTTTTTTTTTTTTTTTTTTTTTTTGTACAGAAAATTTGGGCAGAGTATTGTGCCCAGGATGATGGACAAGCAAGTTCACTCACAAAAAGTTGTGATGCGATGCTAAGCTTAGTTTGGTACATCTAATTACCTCTCTTATTTTTTGTTATAAAATACTTTATTTCCCATTTATTTGCTATTTTGAAATATGCATTATTGATTACAGTCATCTTACTATGCAATAGATCTAAAATTTACTCCTTCTCTATCTGAAATTTTATATCCTTTGAGTAGTAACGCCCCATCTTACCCACAAATTCTAGTAACATCATTCTATTCTCAGAGTTCAAAATGTTTAGATCCTTCACAGAAGTGGCTCCATGCGATATTTCTCCTCCTATGGCTGGCTTAATTCAGTTCGCACAATGTTCCCCAGCTTAAGAATTCTGTTGCAAATGACATAATAACTTTCGCAATAATATAATTTCTGTAAGTCTGAATAGAATATGATAGTGTACACATTCTATTTTCTTCATACATTCATCCGTGATTAGGTGTCTATCTTGATTAATGTGCAATAATGGTGAGATGGGGGTATTCTTTTGACATATTAATTTAAATTATTTATATACATACATAAGAGTGACATTTGCAGACTACATGGTAGTTATACTTTTAGTTTTATAGCAATTTTAACAATGGTGGTACTAAACCACATTCCCATCAGAAATGTACAGATTATCCCTTTTCTTCCTATTTATCTTAATACTTCTCTTTTACCTGTTTACTCTCTCTTCTGTGGTAAATGGTAACTGAAAATTGAGACATGAATTACAACTTGTGATCCATCAGCCTCAGGTCCTCCTTAGCACCTAGAATTATAGACCTGCAGTACCAGGCTAACTCCTTTACCCTATTTTTTAGTAAACAACCAATCTCAATAGGTATGAAATAGTATTCCTCTGTAATCTGATTTTGCATACATTTGTGTATGTGTAGGACTTCTTTGAGAAATGCCTCTTCAGTTCCTTTGTCAATTTTCAAATTATATTTCTCTTTTGCTATTGAGTTACTTGAGTTCTTTATGTATTTTGAATATTCTTTTTGCATGTCATATGATCTGCACCTTTTATTCCCACTGTGAAGATTGTTTATTCACTTTGTTAATTGCTTCATTTGCTATGTAGAAACTTTTTAGTTTGAAGTAATCCATTTTGTAGATTATTGCTTTTGTTGCTTGTACCATGGGAGCCATAACCCCATAAATCATCTCAAATCTTCTTTTTAGTGTCTCCTTTCTGCTAATTTGCATTTATTTTTGTTGTTCTTTCATTTTAGCTCCTTGATGTATAATGGTAGATTGTTTACTTGAAATAAATAGTATATGTGTGTGTGAATGTGTATGTGTGCATGTGTGTTTTTGTGTGTACATGTGCATGCATGCCTGTGTGATGGTGCTTATGATGTGTGTATGCATAGGTATCTAGGCCAGAGGTTGATGCCAGGTATCTTTCTCAAATTTCAACATCCTATTTTTTGAGTCTAATTTTCACTGAACCTGAAACTCACCAATTTTCTAGACTGACTAGCCGGTGAAGCCCAGACACACTCCTGTAACTTCCAGTGCTGCAACTATGAGTACAGGCTGCTGTGCCTGGCTTTTATTTTCATACTGGGGATATGATACAGATCTCCATACTTGCACAGCAAGCACTTTATTCATTAAAGCATCTCTCCAGCTGCAAATCTTGGATATTTATAAGCAGTCTCAATTTTCAAATATTTGTGAAATTTCCAAGATCTATTTTGTTGATTTCAAGATTCTTGCTAGTATGATGTAAAAAGACACTTGAACTGATTTTCATAAATTTATTTTGTAACATAATGTTGGATCTATCTGAGAGCTTGTTCTGCATGTACTCGACAGGTTTCATAATATTGTATCCTTACATTGATGCCGGAGCATGTAGGAAAGTGCCAGCTCTGCTGGCCTTTGAAGATGGCAATAGGTGTTCACTATTGAGTCCAGCACAGAATTCTGCTAGTGTGTCATCTGACTTTGGTATAATATTGAGCTTGGCTGCTTCCTGTGCACTAATGTTGAATGGAACTGACCCAGTAAGACCTCCTGGCTAGATTCTGTCTCATGTAGCAATACCAACTGGGCTTTGTTATAGCCTTTGGCAGATCAGTATTTTAAGTTATTTTCCCTGGTAGGACAACAATGTACTTTGTAATTTGTAGTTGAGCAAAGAAAGTTATGTGTTGGACAGTGAATATGAGCAAGACTTTCAAGGTCACTGATAAGCCACTTTGGTGAGGTAAGTCCAGAGAATGCTGCTCCACATTTATTCATTTTTATCTTTATTCTGTTTTTGCTGTTATAATAGAATCACATTAATTCCCCCTTCCTTTTCATCCCTCCAAACCATTTTATATACTCCCTTTTACTCTGTTATAAATTAATGGCCTTTTTCATTAATTGGTGTTATATGAACTATGTATATGTATGTACATATACATTCCTGAATATAATGGATTCATTCACATTTAAGTTTAGATATGCCTTTGCCTTTAGGCCTATGGTGGCCTTAATCAGAATACCAAGATTTGGAGCAGTTGTGTTGCTGACTGGCTGGGTCAGGAAAGAGGGAGGCAGTCTCAGATACTTGTTCACTTATACTGGGCTTTTTGATCTTAGGATGCCTTAAGGAGAGGACATGGCTGGCAGGGAACATGACTGGGGACTCAAGTCTAGCAGACATACAGACTTGCTCACTGCAGATCAGTACAGTTGTAAGACTTTGTAGCGTGATGCCTTTGTTGGAAGGAAGGGAGGGCAGCCTCTAGAGTTGCACACTGGTTACTGTGAGCCCCACCACTGTTCCTGTTCTTTGCATCTAACTGATGCTTGGTGATCTAGTTGACAAGATACTCCAAATCTTCCCATGTAGTAAGACAAGAATGATCCTTCTATGAAAGATCTTTAAAGGCTGGAAAGTGGGTTTCTCAGTCTCTTTACCCTGGGATCTGAGGGAACCTTCTGTTGTGGTGCTATACTAGCCTGGGCAAAGGGCAACATAGAGTGAAAACATTCATCTTTCCATTCAAATATGGCACTTGTCAGTTGGGCATTTGTGGATGGTCACTGGAAAGATGCTGTGAGATGCTGCCTCGTCTACCACCTTCCTGACAACACTTGGTCACATTCTTTTTCTTTCTGTATTAATTGGTTTATTTCTTATAATGACAGGGCCATTTGAATATACTTAAAGATGCCATAGTTTCTTTACTAGTAATTTCTCAGTGTTATTTCCTGTACAAAGGCTTTAGTTTGCCTACTTTTACTTAGCAATAAATCCCATAGAATTATTTTATTACTCTAACTTATATCT